GGTTTTGTGATGACATAGATAGAGAATGTCAAATTCTGCTTCAAGATAATGTTTCCAATATTTTTATTGGAAGTATGCCCATAGTTTTTTCATTAATTAATTCCATTAGATTTATTAAAATAATATTTTACTTGAAAAAATACTGGAAAATGAAAATTTAATGATGTCAAATGAGTCATCATTTCTCTATCAAAAGTCTCATCAGATAATGAAGGGGAAAACAGTTCTACCACTTATTAAAAAGAGCAGTTTAGACCACTAGCTGAAGTACTACTCCATCTAAATAAAATACAGAAAATTATGAAAGAATATAACAGCTACTCTAGCATGTTTCACTTAATGGAAGCTTCTAGGAAATACTTTAAATTTGTCTAGTTCTGACTGGATGATAAACAAATAACCACATGCTGAAGCAATAAAAATAAATTACTCTGCCAACTTCCCTCTGAAGTGTCACCATGCAGGATGGCACGTATTTCAAAACATTAAACTTCATCTCCATCTAGGCTCAGAACCGAGTGAATTTTACATGGAAAACAAGCATTTCATATTGGACAAACTAAATAGTGAAAAAATATTTTGATTTCCAGAGGTACACATTCGTTCACTTTACTGAAGCGCTGGTGAACAACAAACTCAGAGTTTTCATGATTGAAAGATGGGACACTCCCTATGGTATCTTCTTTTTGTGATAGGGTGTACAAATTTCGAAATAGTTAAGAATTTAAAACTAGCTGCCAATATGAACTATGCTGCAAAAATGTATCCCGTGCACACTTTTGAAAACATTAGTCATAATTGGATAATTTTCACACCTCCAGCGGGGTAAAGGAAAATGCAAATAATTTAAAACAAAATATCACCTGAGTGCAAAACTGTCTCTCAAGGTTTTCAGAATAATAGGCAGTGGGATGAAGATACGCCTGAAATCCATAGCAGGAAACCAGGCAAGAGAAATATCTAGGCAGGAACTCTATGGGGCAGCATGGAAACAAAGTGGGTACTAAAACAAATATTATTTTTCATATTTTCCCAGCAATTATGCTTCTGGGGTTTGTGTTATACTTTCAGCACTGGCATGTAAGAGTTTTGATTCTGCTGACCTCGGAATACAGTCACACACTGAGGTGCCTGCCAAGCAGGCTTGTAGTCTGGATCCTTCTGGGATCTCCCGCGGCAACATCCAAGCCAAGCAGGCAACTTCCCTGACAAGGAGCAGGGCGCAGGTCAGGGCTGTGGGCAAAGCAAGCGAGCAGAGGCTCTGCAGTCACAAACCCGACCAGCTCTGCACGCATTTACAGCGAGGTCAATAACTGGGCTCAGGGCTGCATTTGGACACAGGGAGGTCTGGCACGTAGAGCAAGCACAGCTTTTCTCCAAGTAACCAGTTCCTTTGGGAATGACACATATCGGCTGGCCGGATAGGGTAACACAGATGAAGAGCTCATTTTGTGTTGGGAAGGAAAAAAACCAAACCAAGAAATGAAAGAGGACATTATATCTTTCATGCAAAATGAAAAGTTCGCTATATGATTTCATTAACAAAAGACCAAGACAACATATACTCGGGTAAAGAGAACAACTTCTGACCTTGAAATTGCGTGCTAAATAAATTACCTCAGAGCGAAAGTGATGAGTTCTCATGACAGCATCTGGAAGAGAAGCAGAAAGACACACAGGCTTCACCAGCTGCACCTCGCATTTCGCCCCGGCTAACGGGCTCACCCCGCCACTCGCCCTTTGGCGCACACTCCGGGACGGCTCTGGCCCTTCAGGCACAGCCGGCAGCTCCGCCCGGCATTTATATTTAATTCATCGGGAAGAAGTTCGGCATAAAGTTCTGCTGCGCTTTAACGGACCGGGGAGGGCTGGGGGGTTTCCCAGCCTCTCACCCTTCTCCCTCCAGCCGAGGTTTCGCTGAGGGATGGGTGGAGACAAGGCTGCCGCAGTCCTGGGCTCGGCTTGAATTTTCTTTAAAGCCTTTGCCCGGCTAAACCGTGCCACGGCGGCCCTCCGCCGGCAGAAACCTGGGGATGGGCCGGGGAGCCCCCCGCCGCCCTCGGGGACCGGCAGCGCCTCTTACCTCGGCTCCTTGAGCGACCTGAAAAGACGGATTTGATGGGATGCCTCGCTTTCTGGAGCCTGCGGTGCCAGCAGCAGAAGAATAAAATCGTGGCAATGGTCCCCAGCAGCAGCAGGAGCAAGAAGAGGGCGCACTGGATGCTGTAGGGTCTCAGCAGGACCAGGAAAGCCGCGGCAATCATGGCTCAAGCGCCCGGCTGCCCCTGTGCGTGCGCGGGTCTGCGGCGAGCGGCGAGGGGCCGGGCAGCGCCGGGCAGCCTCTCCCCCCGGCAGCGGGGCGGGCATCGCCGCCGGCACCGCGCTGCTGGAGCCGGCGGCCGGGCGGGAGGCGGCGGCGCGGGGGAGGAGGAGGAGGAGGAGAAGGAGGAGGAGGAGCGGGATGAGATTCAGGCCGTGACTCAGCAGCAGCCGCCGCCGCGGCGATGGTTGCTGTGGGGCTGCCCCTCCGTGCCCGCACGGCTGCCGGGAGCGGGGAGCGCGGCGGGCAGAGCCGGAGCGCCCGCGGACAGCGGCGGGCGGGGCGGGGCCGGGCGCCGCATGGCAGCCGGCGCGGGCACGGCGGGGCGGGGCGGCAGCAGCAGCAGCGGGAGGAGGAGGAGGTGGAGGAGAAAGGAGAAAGGAGAAGGTGCCGCCGGTGTTGGGAGAGAGGAAGGAGCGGTGCATCCCACCACCGAGGGGACTCCGCCAGTGACATCACCGCTGGAGCTGCTGAGAGAGTCGGAAAATGGCTACTGCGAGGTACCAGGGGACCCCCGGGGGAAAAGAGGGGCGCGGGGTGTCGGCAGCAGCGAGAGCCAGCGCAGGTCCATGGGGGAAGAGGAAGGGGGTCTGTGGCGTACCCTGCACCTCAGGCGTCGGTCGAGGCCGGTTTCGTGGAGGCGGAAGGGATTGGGATGGGATAGAACGAAATAATGAGATCCATCCTGACAAGGTGACCAGGGCCCTCGCACCTTCGCGCGGTGCTGCCCCGTGTCCCCGATGCCGGCACGGAGCCGCCGGTGCGGGCGGGACGGGGCAGTGCGTGCGCTGTGCACAGCGGGGCTGCGAGAGAAGCAGCACCTGCGGGGACCCTGGCGCTGCAGGAAACTGCAACCACTGCGCTGCCGCCAATGTCAGCCCCGTGCCCTTCGCTCGCCGCCGGGCCGCAGCTGGTGCAGCATCACAATCCTGCCATGTGCAGGTCGCGAGTGCAGATGATAACAAGACTTCACCTATGTTGCTCTTTCTACCTCTGTAGTTGTCACTGTGATAGTCCAGACTTTCAAATACTGTTTCAGAGGTGTTTGAAAGTTCTGAACTCCCTCACAGACACGCAGAAAAAGAATCACTTGCTGAAAATATAGCCGGGTACCATTTTTACCATGCATTTACTCACGTCACTGGGGAAAAAGGTTCATTCAAGTCAAAACTCGTGCTTTTCATGCATCTTTGATGTCCCCACATAAAACTGAAGAGCATTTCCGAAACTTAATAGAAATAATTAAAATCTCTGTGTAAATATTGGAGAAACATTGAAATGTTGCTGCTTTATATGATTGACATGAAGCTACAGTAAAGCATACATGTAAATTTAAGTTAAATTTAAAATATGTAAGCTGGGAAGACAGAGAAGGAAATGTATCTGTGATATCTTAAATAAGAACCGGAAAAATAATCTCTAGATCAGTAAAATTCATTTATCACTGGGCTAATAACATTGTAAGACTTTACTGTACCCTTAAGGTTATGGAAATCTGTTATCGTTGAAAGATGCTCATCATAGCAGGGGGTGTAAGTAAAAAAAAGAAAAAAAAATTGGTTTTAGGTCTATAATAATTTATTCCAAGAATTTTGTATCATTTCATGCTATACACCAACGGAGTGAGCCAAAATAATCTGTCCTATTACTTTGTAAAATGGAAAGTTGCTACATTGCAGCCATGGATTCAAAGCTTTCCCTCACTGCCTAGAAACTGCCAAATGCTGTAACGTTGTGTTGCATCATGTGGTGCAATATTGAAATCTTTCCTAATACCGCAGTACACTGCAGTAGAATGGTTTTGATGCAGATTACCTGGAGATTATTCAAAGGGTCCTCGTTACCTCACTGAAACATGAAGCAAATTGGTGTGATCCTCCTGGCATCATGCTGCAGTGCCACGCTGCAGGATATTGCAGGAGCAGGAAACTTTTCGACACCTTCAGCTCTGCGCTGATGTATTGTTTCAGAGTGGGATGATGGAGCAAAAGTAGCGCGGCAGTGACTGCACGGTAAATCACGGAGAACTGAGGGGGAAGGGTTCTTCTCACATTGTTCTCGGGTAACAGTGCATAGAAATCATCTGACAGACAAATCTCTAGTGAAAGCTTTATAGTTTAAGGCTTATAGGTTTTCCCTTCTAAGAGTTAGAGCTCATTGGTATCTTGAGGATAATGTTCATCAAAAATGATATAATAAATTTCATGACAGCTGCTCTTTTTTTTTTTTTTCAAATGCAAAAGAGAGTACAGTTTAGTACAAGAAATGCTGACATGCATGATTTTTCAGAGAGCTGCTGCTCCAGGCTTTGAGTCAACTATCTCACATGTATACCAAATTGCTGCTCAGGCTTTCTTTATATTCATTACTGCTCTGTGCTTGTTAAATACTGCAGGGTATGGTAGTGTGGTTAAAATATTTCTTCCATGGTGAATAAAATTTAAATTGCTGAAGTTACTACACATTAAAAATAACCAAATTATATGTGAGTAGATTTTTCCCCAGAAACAGTAATAAAGAGAATTTAAGATAAGTTTTATATGTATCATACTTTTAATCTACGATTCTTTACAGAATGTTTTTTAGGGGACTTTTCCTAAATCTTAAGGATGATAAACAGAGAAGACAAAAGAAATGAAGAGAGAAGGTTAAAATAAAGCCTCTCATCTGAGATTTGACCTCAGAAGGGAAATCCCGGAGGTGAAGGCATTGCAGAGAAGAAGTAAAAGAAGGTAACAAAATCTTGAGACTAACTATGATTATAGGGAGTGGAATGGGAGGGGAGGTCAGAAGCTGTTGAGGAGTGAAATTAAGTGTTTTATAATCTAAGAAAGCAGTTATTGATTCTGCAATAAGTAAGGAGTCTTGCTGCCATTTCAGAGTGCACATAATGTGAGTGCACTTTTGCAGAGTTGTGGGCAGATGTGGGATGTAGGGTCCTGCAGATGCTTGCTTTGATGGGGACCACAGGCAAACACAGCAGTGACAAAGTCACTGGCATAACTGAAGCTTTTGATGGCACTGAGGGAAGCAGCCTTTCACCTGAGCAGTGCTGAGGGATGAGGTGGTGATAATTACTTGGGCAGAGGGATGAAAAAGGAAAGTTCTGCTTCAGAGAACCCACAGAGAAGAGGTGACCAGCAAATGTTTGGAAGTGGAAAGGCACAGGAGGAGGTTTCTGTGGTTACAGTTACTCTTGAATGCAGTTTACCTATTTTCCCAAGTTAAGTGAGGTAGGGAAACAGCATGGAAATTGTGTCAAACTGCAGTTTAATGTAAGAGTTGAATAGGGAATGTGCTGTAGCAGCAGCAGCTCTCCTGCAGGGAGACAGGGCAGTGTTGACCTCAAATATTCTTTCAGCCAGTCTCTCATGATAGCCAGTTCTGGCTTAGCAGTCTTGCCCAGCAAGGCTGAAGGAGGAGATCCTTTCTTCCCTTACTTTGTCCTTGCAGAATTGCAGCAGTCCCTGGGCTAGTGCATATTCCTTGATAATTTAAGTGATGTTCAGCCACACGTTTTAAAAGAAACTAAAAATTCTAGCTAGGTTAGGCTGGCAGGCAAAAAAAGTTGCAAAAAGAAAATGTGATGGCATGTTGAGTGGAGAAACCATGTCTGCAGAGGTGTGCTGACCTCCCTCAGTGTGAGCCATGGGATTCAAGGGCATTCCACCTCTCTGCTCCTGCAGACTGAGGCCCTGTGGACCTCGTTGTGCAGCTGTAATATTCCCTGTATCAGTGAGTTGAGTGAGGAAAAAGAAGCCACATGCTCTATCTGGTGATGTGGGCATAAGAATATGAAATTTTGCATGAAATTATTTCAGAAGAGTAGCTGAGTGAGTGAAAGGGTAAGATTATCTCTTTCACTGGTATGTAAGTATGCTTTGAGGATTGTGTTTGTACTAACTAATTATAATTGAGTAAAATATTCTGCCTAAATGACTACTTAACTGGTTAGAAGGGTTCTCTAATCATCTAATACTTTCTAACAAAATATTTGGGTTTTTCATCATCAAATAAGAACCAAGGAAAATACAGTCAAAACCAAAGAGGCAAGCAAAAAAAAATAGAGAAGACATCATAGTATCTGAGTGTTACCAACTTCTTTTGATGAAATAATTGACTTTTCCCCTTGATATTCTACTTACGTGGTGCCATCAGTGCTACCCTAGCAGCTCAAACATAGCATAGGAAATGTTGTGAGAGTTTCTGGTAGATGATTAAACCTTATAAAACACTTTCTTCAGTTTAAAGAATAATAACACTTTCTGGCTTGATATAGGCAACACATTGAAAAGAAATCTGTTATGTGAAATGATATGTTCTAAATTCAGCAAGGTTATTACAAATTTTCGTTCTGCAAAACTTGCTAAATTGTTTACTCCATACAGTGCTTTGTATGGTAAAAAGCGCACTAGCATTAGGTAATTCTCACAATATCTTTGAAATTAGGTAAATGTGTATTATTATTTCAGATTCATTAAAAAGAAAAGGTGAACTATAAATTTAAAACTTGTATGATTTACCCAAGATCTAACTCTGTGATTCCAGTGCTACAGATTAAAGCCTTCCATGTCTGGAACATTTTGCCTTTTGCAGGTGTCATAGGTGACCATGTAAAACCAAATTCTTGTCAGCTTTATATGTGTAGAGGTTATTGTCCTTATTCTGTGGGTTTGTCAGCTCAAATAACTTGTGTATTTAAGTTCCCTCTGGTTATTAGACTGAACATAAATCAAATGGAGAATGAGCCATACAGTTGTACACTCATGGCTTACAGTGTTGCTGGAAAAATGCTAGCAGGAATACTGTGGGCATAAATTGACTTTGTAGACAGAGAGGCTGCTCTTGAGCCTAGATGGAAATATACTGCTGAAGCTCCTATGGCACTTTTTTTTTATTACAGCAGCAGTATGCCCCTTTGTCCTTGGTTGAAATTTGCTCTGTATTCATTTTTGGCAGTGTTTAGAGTAGCAGTTGTCAATCTGTATGTGGCCTTACATCCCAGAGGGAATTGCACTTCATTAGTATTTTAACTATATAATTGAAAATTGTTTAAGGATTGTTTCAGACTGATGAACACTGGTCATTCCACTGTTATAGTACTTTGTAAAGTTAGGTTGAACTACATACAGTAAAAAGACATTTAATTTTACAGGAGGGGAAAAATAGCTTTAGTAAGTTTTGAGGGTTTCATCTTTGCAGGGAAGATGTGTTGCTGTCAATTCTTGTAAGTGCGTGGAGAATTACTCTTAGTTGAAGTAATATTCCCTGATGTAAGAGGACAATATATATATGTCTCTTTTTCTAGTTCATGACCTTTAATAGTAACGCACATTGTTTTTATCCTCCTACCTACCAAAATGCTGCAAAACCAGAGCAATTGGGGAAGAGCTTTGGAATAAAAGATTAATACACTTTGCGTATTAATCAGGCACGACGTCTCATCTGTGATCATTTACCTAAGACAACCAGCAAAGACATAGAAGTGGGTACAGTAAAGATGCTGCTAAGTTATTAAATACTGACGAAAAATCAACCCTGGAATTTTCTAGCTTCTATTTCACTTCTTTGCTTGTAAGAATTAAAGGGCGAATGCCACCAGCAGTCATTTGGGGTAGAATGTAAGATACAGTTTCTATAAGATGCATCCTCTTATAATCTCTCATATCAGGTTATCAGAGGGTTTGTTTGAATAAGTCCAATTTGAAATTGCATTAATTGCACATGGAAATTATGTCTAATATTTTTTCAGTCTTTTAGGAAAAGGTTATTTGGCTGCTTGGGCTGTTGCGTGGAGTAAGTGCACAATTACTGCACCTTAGCACAGATTTGCGTGTGGTCAAGCTTTCTCTAATGATCCCATAAACATCTTTAGACAAGATAAGTGATGCATCACTGTTTTTTAATGTTTATAATTTGGGAGCTGTTAAAATGGATTGCATTGGATTACACAAGCCAGGTCATAATGAACATAGACAAATGTTTGACTTTATAGAGCCATGTTGACTGTTTCTCCTTCCAGGCTACTAATTGTTTCTAAGTATTTGGATATATTAACCTGCATGGAAAGAGCTTTCTTGGGATTATTCAAACTCCTGTAGCATAGGTATTTCATCTACTTCAGTAAATAAGGAGATTTATTTCTTGGTCTGTATATTAATACATTTTGTTGTGCATGGCATTTATGAGCAAGCACATTAAAGTGAGTATTAGGTCTCCATCTGTCAGCTGTGAAAGACATATTTAATAAAGATACTAATGTCATGTAGAATTAAGATAGCTTCCTGCATCCTACTTGGCATCTTGCTACCTTAATGTGAATCTTTCACTGAGTGTGGGATTAAAATACAGTTAAATAAATTTATATGGTTTATAGGCATATGAGATATCTAGGCCCCTATTTAAACTCGGGTAAATCACTGAGGGTCAGAGAACAATGAATTTGTGTTTAGTGCCATTTGAGGTGCCTGGAAGTAGTAACCACCACTGTAAGCCCAGAAAAGGGTCCAAGCCCTGTGTGAAGTCTGTGCCCATCAGAAGAGGCAGCTGGAGGCCTGGCACAATAATTTATGGTACTTAAGATTGCACCATGCATTTATTTTTAGGCCACTGAATTGAACCCTACAGCAGCTGAAAAAAGCTGAACTGCTCTCCAGGAATCTTTAACTGTGTTGAGTAGGGGCTTCACACTTATGACTGCTGGAGCTGCTCAAGGCTGAGACATCTCCAGAAGGATGACAGTTGTGATAAAAAAAACTGTGAGAGATTTGTACTTCTAGAGTAGCAGCTGAAGGCCAAGTAAATAACAGTGGTGATAGACACCTGCTTAGAAAGCCAAATTGACCCCTGCATCTCCAGTGATTACAGCAATAACTTATGACACCTGGTGCACCAGTGACACCTAAATGTAAGCATTTTAATCTAGAACTGAATACTGTACTGAAAACACAGTAATGATGTTAGCTTATCTTGGAATCTATTAAAATGAATGCCATCTTTCACTCATAGTTGAATAAATTATTGGTTAGAACAAAAGTTTAGTACTTCCAGACATACTAAATATACCCACTTAAAAATTATTTATTCAGCCTTTCCTATCACTCAATTTAACAAATAAAATTAATCGTTTGATGCAAAAATTGCATTTTTTCCAATAGATTTCTTCAAGCTTTTGGTTTAAGCCACAATCCTTCAGAGGATTTTGGCATATTTAGATATCAGTATTATTTAATAGAACTCCTAGGTTACTAAAACGTAGGAAGAGGTTACTGTTGTGAAAAATAAGAATGGCTTCATGAATTCCTTGGGTCACTCAGTAGACTTTAGAATGTAGTACAAGGTTTGCACGAAGTTCTCTGTGTAATCCTGTGAGTTGTAAATGCTGCTGAGGCTTTAAAGTCAAGGAGGCTATCTGGGTAAATAAGGCCAGACCTGCCGCTTTACCATGAATAGCATCACTTCTTAGAAAAGTATCTTAGGTTATTTCACAGTGAGTCACACCAGGATAGTGATCTGCAATGAGGAAGTGACCTCTTGAATATCAGGAATAAAATCATAGAGTTAAATCCTTCCTGTGGAAAATAAATGGGATCATTTGTGTGATAATTTCGGTGCATTTATAGTCTTAAGAGTTGCAGTAGTGTTCTGATACATGCTCCCTCGGATTCCCAGCTGAATTTGGAACACAGTGATACTGATGATTCTGGAAAATCTGTACTCTGCATTTCTCAGC